TGCTGCTTGGCCTGCTGTGTTCATCCAGCCCTGCACCTTGTTGTCTCGGATTCTCCAGCATCTGCAGTTCCTACTATCTACTGAAAATACTCAGTTTTGGCAGAATTTTTGGAGCGGAGTTAACAGTTCTGTGACCTCTCATCAGATCATTAGTTCTGTTCCTCTCTCTGCATGAATTATCCAGCCTCCTCAGACTTTCCAGCTCTTTTTGCACTATATAGTTACAGCCCTTCGAGTGAGCATTGAAGTATTTTTTTTTTGAAAGACCTTCAACCCTACCTTGTGCAGTGAGTTCCAGACTTATGCCCTCAATGTTGGGCTCGTGCAGCAGCCCTCAAATTCTCAGGCATGGCGGCAGACAAGTCAGTTTAAGTCATTCAAAAAAGTTAAGATACCTCATACCACAAACAAAGTTAGTGTAGATTGCTCCACCACGCTCTAGATAAACAGCTTCTCCTTGTCCCCTCTCCAATTCTTCATACCAATTAGTGTAAAGTGGTTATGGACCCCTCCATTACAGAATAGAAATACAAATTCTAGTCGTTTTACAGTCACTGTCACTTCTGTAAAGGATAAAGGAATAACCCACCTTCCATTGAGTTCTTTAGAAACGTTAGATCTAGGTGAGATCACAATTTTTTTTTGTAAGGTTGCAGCTTTCGCACTTCAATTAAAATATAATTAATTAGATTAAAATGAAACAACGAAATTACCAAGCTTTCTTGAGTAAGAAAAAAATTTTATTACTTACTGACCCTGGGGTGGGATGTGGTGGGAGGGGGAAACAAACGCGCATAGGCTAATACTTTTTTAAAAAGAGTTCCATAAATCTTTGAGATGTTAAGTTATAAAACTAAGGCCAGTTGTTTGTGTTGACGCGCATTCTTGAGCAGTGGTGAGGTTGTTGATCTTGAGTTCTTGATGACTGGTTGTTGTGCAAGTTTTTTTCATTGGGCACTGACTGAGGGATGAGGCTTGCAATACACTCGCTGTTATCACTTTATATTTCTCTGTTGCTTAAAGTAGCTGTTAATACACGTCCATTTGTATATTTGAGTCTGCGCCATCGTCTTTGTAAACTGAAGACTCTACAGGTAGCCTTTCATCTCCCAATTTGAGAACTTATGCAAGCGTCAGACAAATAGGATGCCTGTTTCTTGATACCAACTTAGTTGCCTAGTTTCACTATCCTTGGATGAAATGATACTTTGACTGACTACAGTGAAACTATTTTGTATGCATTTCCTGGACTTGCCTGAATTTTGGTCAGGTGATCATGGCAGTCATTTTAGATATATTTGTTCTTTATAAAAATTGCTTTCAAATTTATTTTGTGGAGGCCTTGGGGATGAAAAATCACAATGAAGATTGAATTTGAATAAGCCATGTTTACCATTTATTATAGAAAGCAAACAAGAAGCAATGAAAGTGTTAGATTCCATAAAATGAGTTTGGAATTGTGTTGCAGGGGGTGAAAAAACACAGCAAAGGAGTCTAGCCTAACACTGACTTCTAGATGTTGTGGCATTAATAAGTATGATGGCACCTAGTCAGCATAATACTTATTAAAATATGGGTTGTTATGCTTACTACAGTGAAAGAAAATCATCTCGAGGTTTGATAATGTATTTGATACGTATTGTGCTCATTGACAAGCAGTGCTGTTTTAATGACGAAATAATATAAATGTACATATGACCAAATGTTATTGAGTGTTTCGTGTACATCTATTTCATGTGGTAGGCAATTCGAGAGTATGACAGTTTGCTGAAACAAGCAACTGGCTGATTCTCAAAATTCCTCTATAATGTGCTGCAGAAACTATGACTCACTGCATCACATCATTCCCGAGAAAGGTCAGTCATATAGATGTGAAAAGAATGTGCCACACAAGGAAGAAAAATTCACATCAAAATGTCACATGGAGTTTACTCTTCACACATCTGGGAATATTCTATTTCGGTCTGACTGTTCACTGCTTTAACATTTCCTTCTGACATTCATTAAATCAATTTATTAAAGCGTATGTGTTCTCTCCACTGCCCTCTGTCCCCTTTGGAGATACAAAATGCAGTTGTGTTGTTCTGACTTTGTGTAGGATGTTATTTTAATATATTGATGTATGTTTTATATCTGCAAGAGAAAGAGATGAGTGGTGAGATGAAATGTATTTTTTTGAAGCTGTAAAGTTGTACACTTTGGCAGGACGAAGCGAGGAACTAAATATTTAAATGGAAAAAGACTGCAGAAAGCTAAGTATACCTGCAGTATGTGGAGGTCCTTGTTCATCAATCACGAAAAAGTAGCATCCAAGTTCAGTGGATCCTAAGGAACACAAATGGATATTGGACTTCATTCCTTTTGAAATTGAGTATTAGAATAGGAAAGCCTTACTAAAACTCTACAAGAAACCAGTCAGATCGTACTTAGAATACTGAAAGTTTTGGAAAGATATTGGCATTTGAGGCCGTCCAGAGAAGGTTCACTAGGTTAATCCTGGTCACAGATGGAATTTATTATGAGGAGAGATTGAGTAGTTCGGAATTGTACTCATTGGAGTTTAGAAGGAGAAGAGATTTTATTAAAAATAAGATTCTTGGGCATCTTGATGTGGTGGGACTGTCTAGGACCAAAGGGCATAATCTCAGAATAAGGGGTTGCCCATTTAAGGCAGGTGAGGAATTTCTAGTGAAAATTCTTTCTAGGTAGTGAATCTATGGAATTCTTAACCCGGCCTCTACAGCTGTCTGTGGTAATGTATGTTCAAGGCTGAGACAGATTTATTCAGTAATGGCACCCAGACTTATGGGGGGGAAAGGCAGGGAAGTGGAGTTGAGAGTTACCAGATCAGCCATGATCTCGTTGAATGGTGAAGCAGATTCATGGGGCCAGATGGTTGACTTATGCTCCTCCATCATAATATCTTAGGACTACTTGCAAATGAGGAGCTCTGAAGTGCTTATCCTGATCATTGGAACTGAGTTCTTGAGTTCTATTTTATGTGTTGTATTGGCAGCCCTAACATTCTAATAAGTGGAACTGTTATTAGGTTAATTGGAAGGATAGTATATGACTTCTTTTAAAAAATGTTTGCGCAAACATATTTTAGGAAAAGGTGAACAAACGACAGGTTTAAACTAGTTATCACAATTTAGGGGATGTGACATAACGAGCACTTGAATTGAAAATAAGGATTTTCAAACTGATCTTGTTTAGAAAATCAAATGTGGTTATTATCTGAAAAATATCAACTTTAAAGCTTAGCACTGTACCTACACACAGCACAATCTAATTGACTGTACTGGAATGATGCATATGGAATATTGAATCTGTGATGGACTCAGTTTATTAAAAATGTATTGTCAGGATGAACAATGTATGATGTGATATACTAGTGGTATAATGGAAGTGAGTTTCCTGTGGCTGGTATCCTGATTACAGGCCAATCATCATTGTTTCAGTTCCATACTTCAATCTTGTTGATCAGGGAAAAGCAAGTGGAGGCAATAGTATTGATCATAAAAATGGGAAAAATAAAGTCTGACAGTTGCTTTTGTATCTCTTAGTCTGACTTTGGAGATGCTGGAAATTGACTATATGATCGTGTTCTTTGCTGCTGGGTTGGCGGAGAAAGGGAAGTGGCACAAGAAGCAGAAAAAATTCTTCTCAATATTCACACAATTCTTCTTCATTTTAAAACATGACAGTAGTTTGGATTTTAAGTGTAAATTGGTCCAAACTAGACAAAATATGCAGGAGAGACATGTGCACAAGCACATATGGAAATGATGACATCTGAATGTCCTTTCACCTTTTTAAATTTTGGGAGTTAAGAAACAGAATTGCCCTTTTGTGGACTCATCTGCACCACACTGATCCTATTGAATAGGTTGCAACATGGCTCTGGCAAAATGGTTGTTTAAGCAAATCTTAAATTCTTTTCCTTCTACTTAACTTCAAACCAGAAAAAGTATGCAACAAGAGTACGAAACAATTTGTAAGCGTATATTATGTAACGTCACATTTGGCTATGTAAAGTGCAGCATAGATCCATTCCTTTACCTGAGATGCCTCGCTACACTTGTAATGCAGATTTTATTTGCAGTAGCCATTTAAGTTTCAAATATTCTCTGGGGCATATAATCTGAGGGGTTTAACATCATTGTCTACCTGAGGCTAGAAATGGCCCCTCCTGATTGGCTTCCTCAAGTGCCACAACACTTAGTCCAGGACCTTGAAGCTTGTCTGTTGGCAGCAGTTGTCTGTCAGCTGTTCTTGACTCTATGTATTGGAAGATCTGCCAGTTTTAGTCATATCAAACAGCATCTTCCATAAGAGTTGATAATCCACCAGCAGCATTTAATAGTTTTCCCAATGTGCACCCCTCTAAACAACCTACACAGCACTGAATCGTGTGTTGCAGGACTGATCAGGGTGAACCTTTTGCAAAAACCTCTTTCTTTCTGAAGTACACAATTCAGGCGACACTATCTTCACCACAGCTTCCATGAGCATGTTGCCTGGAGTTAGTAAAACTTGAGTGAGTATAAAGAATCTGATAGGTAGGATCTTTTTCCCTTGTGGTCAAAGTGTATCTTAGTGCTTGTTTGTGAGTTACAGCAATAGTGCATCTGCTTAGGGAACCGTTTGACAGGATCCACCATTTCCAGCAGGGCCTTGAGGACATTACATGTTGACATGTGATCTGTGCGTTTATTTCCAAAATTTTCCTTGTGGGGCAGGTGGTTTGGCATGGTCCAACTGAATAATGTTTCATGGAAACATAACCAGACCCATCTTTCCCAACAGCCTGGATAAGTAGAACTTCAGTATAAAGTGATATTTGGGCAGAATTTTTTTCCTGTCTACTATGACGTGAAAAATGGCAAGGTGCGAAAGCACCAAGAAAATGGAAACAGTTAACCTGAGGTTGAGGAAATATTTTGCCATCATCCAGCTGCTGCTTCACATAAACATCCCTGTGTTCTCCATGGTCACCACTTGTTCATGCAAGTTAACAGTGACAGTTATATATAAATATATTTTGTTCATGATGTTTTTATAAACAACATAGATGAGAATGTAGGGATGACAGAAATTGGCTGGTAGGTTGACAGTAAGGAGGTAAGTCTTGGGTTACAGAGGCTGTCAACTGTGGTTAGATAGACAGATAAGTGGCAGATGGAACTTAACCCTGAAAAATGTGAGGTGAAGCATTTTGGAAGGAGGAGCAAGACAAGGGAATACTCAGTAAATGGCAAGACACTAAGAAGCTCAGAGGAGCAGAGGGATCTTGAAGTGCTTGTCCACAAATCCCTAATGGTGACAGGGCAGGTTGATAAGGTAGTTAAGACGGCATAAGAGATGCCTGCCTTTATCATTCGTGGCATAGATTATAAGAACAGGGAGGTTATGTTGGAGCTGAACAGAACTTCGGTTAGGCCACAGTTGGAGTATTGTGTGCAGTTCTGGTCGCTGCACTGTCAGAAGGGTGCAATTACACTGGAAATGCAGAGAAGATTCATTAGGATGTTAGCTGGGATAGATCATTTCAGCTAGGAAGTGGTACTGGATAAGCGAGGATTGTTTCTTTTGAGCCATGAAGTTTGTGTGGTGGATGGGGGGAAAGTGGGATACCTGTTGGAGGTATATAAGATTGAGGGGCATGGACAGGGTGGGCAGAAAACAGCTGTTCCTGTTAGTTGAAGGATAAGTAAAAAGGGTTAGAGTCTAAAGGTGAAAAGAGGCTTAGAGGGAATTTGAAAAGTTTTTGTTCAACCCAGAGGGTAGTCAGGGTCTGGAATGCACTGCCCAGGAGGATAATGGAGGTGGGTAACTTCAACCTTTTTTAAAAAGTACCCCCATGGATGAGCATTTTAAGTGTCATAACGTTCAAGGCTGTGGGCCAAATAATGAAAGTGGAACTAGTGTAGATTTATCACAGATTTGCTGATAGATAACAATGAGCCAAATGGCCTCTTTGAATTATAAAATCGTGCAGTAATATCCTTGTCTTGTACCAGTCAAGATGGTTGGCTATGGAGAGTTAGGCACTTGGTCCAACCAGAGACTAGAGATTACTGTCTTTGCAGTCTGAGGACTAAGCCACAATCAGTCCAGCAGGTCAAGTACAATCAGTCCAGAGATTACAGGCAATTTAGTTACAAGGTTGTGGAGAAATCAGTCTGGGGTGTTGAGTCAATTCCTGCAATTTGACAAAGTGAGGGATCGAATATGGTTTGAAGTGATGGCAAAACAGTTAATGGTGTTGCACGAGTGGGAGAGGTAGTAAGGTGCCCACAGTGAATCAGAAGATAATGTAGAGGTCAAGAAGAGTTGGTAGTTCTGGAGGATGAGGTGGGAGAGAGCTGTTGAATGGATATGATGCATGCAGTATTGAGACTTGTAGTCCATGAGCCATGGTACAATGGAATAGTTGGATCAGTAGCCCTGCAGAAGAGGAAGCAGAGAGAAAATCGTAGTTCTTAACCTTATGATGATTATTGACCTTTGCGCATTGTTGGGCGTTATGCTTCACCCAGCTCTTGCAACCAGGCTGGCTTGGTTTGATGATGTGGCTTCCTGTGGCATTCCCCAAGATCAAGGACTGCCCTCCATTCCTCTGTCCCATCCACTAAGACCTCTATATCCCTGCCCACAAAGTAGGGAACAAACTCCTTTCCTCTGGGCCAGGTCCCAGATGATATGGTCAAGCATCACTGTTTGAGACACCATTCCTGCCTTGCAATGGCTGAAAGGGTGTGCAGCTGGACTTTATAGACATGCTGTCCGAGGCTTGAACACGCGGTGGAGAGCACCTCCACCTCTCCTGCCATGTAATGCCCAGGAACCTGGCTGCATAATTAATTGAGATGAAAAGCAGGTTGTGAGCATAAAGTTGCTCTGGATCATGAATTGGGTGTCATGCAATTGTTGACAAAATACTTTAATTTTAACTAATAAGGGGAAAATTCCACCCATGATGTTTACGTACTGCAGGTTGATACACAGCTTGAAGCAGCCACACACACAAAGGAGGCCCATTTCATTCTGCAGTTAAGGAAGGTACTAGGCTAGAGGTTTGCTATGGCTGAGGAACATATTATGAGCCAGACTTTTGCCTCATCAATCGACACCTAGCAGCTTGCACCAGATGGCCAGATTTTTGTTTGCAGTGGAGAGGGAGCATTGGTCCCACATGTCCAGTTTCTATTTGTCCATGGCATTTTACTCCTCCCTGGTATTTGGTGTTTGCTCCAATTCCACCTAACCATGTTCCCAACACTTTTCAGGTATTCTGACATGATGAAGCAGGCTTGCAATTTCTTGGCCCAGCTTTTTGAGAGCTTTGACCTTGTTGTGCTTTACTTTGGTCCTTGGTACCTGTTCAAACTTGTTGCAGGTGCTCATAGGTTTGCAAGCCAACAGCACTACGTCCAGTGCTGCAGTTGTATTGAACAGTACCATTTGAACTTTGGTACTTATTCCCATTTGGAATCCTCCAGTGCCTTGAGCCTGTCAGTTAATTTTTGACATCTGCTTCCCAGCCTGCGCAATTCTCTCTGCAAGGTGTAACCTGCAGCACACTGTTCAATTTGTAAAACATTCTCTTTACCAAACATTTTTTTTTTGTTAAAGGGCAAGTCCGAAAGCCAGTAGAATAAAGCTGATTTGCATGACTTCTACAAATTCAGTTGATTGCAGGGGTGGAGAAGGTGTACATCTTGTTTAATTTTTGCTCGATCTCAATTGCAAACTTTTGCCAAACTAGTGTAAAATGTAAAAAAAAAAAATTGTCAAATGAACAAAATATTAGCCATATGTCATACTTAAAAACAAAGTGCTGGGTAAACGCATCTGGGGGACCCTCTACACACTGAAACCAAGTTAATGTTTCAAGTCTTAATATGACTTCATTTGAAATGTTAATTCTGTCTCCACTGATGTCAGACTTGCTGAGTTTTTCCAGCACTTTGCTTTTATTACATACATTATTAACTAAAGTCATGTTTCAGTAAGTTTGAGTTTTAGCTATCTCTTGTTTTCTATTACTCTGTAAATAATGATGGCTGCAAAAGTACTTTATTTTGCTATAAGGCAGTTTGGAACATCGTAATTACATGTAGTTCAGATTAGACCTATTGAACGTACTGTATTCCATCCTGGGCACCTCAGGAAGGTTTTATTAATCTTGGGGTACAGCTCAAATACACTATAATTACACTGGCATTAAAAATGGTAATTTATCACAGATTACATGAATTAAAGCTTAATTAATATATAATGGCTGTATTGCAAAGACTGATCTGTATGGTACTCTTGGCAATATACTTGTAAATTTATACATAGTTTTTGCTTTGGGAAGAAATTCTCTTGAGTATTGGAGATTAAGGGGTAATCTAATTAAGATGTTCAAGACAATTAAAGCCATTGACAAGATAGAGAAATAAAAATGTTAGTTGCCGCCTTCTAGGTGGTATGCTTTGGTGATGTATTTTTTCTGCCAGATGCATAACCTCGACTACAACATGCAGCTCCTGTTTATTGACCATGAAGGTTTGCAGGCTGCCTTCAGGATGCTGCCTGTCTTTTTACCGGGACCTAATCACTGTCTGGAACATGGTCAACTTGCACAGGGCCTACCCTCCATCAGGAGTAGCAGCTATCGTCAGAGCCATTGCTCAGGAATCCACACCTCCACAATTGCGGGTTCGAGTGGCTGGCAGAGCAGAAGGCCGTGGCTGTGGGGTTTGGTGGGGGATCAGGGTTGTGGACGTACTGGGTGGCGGAGGCCTGGGCTGGATGCTCCTGCTGCAGGAATTGGCACACAGAGCAGCAGTAGACGTCTGGCTCGCACCACTGCTTTCCAACTCCTTTAAAACGGTGATGTTCAGGCCCAACATTGCACACCTGGTTTGAGGATGTTCAGTCTTTGCGTGCCCCTGCTCAGATGGAATTTCATATTGGCCCCAGGATCCCGTACCTCCGCCGGGAGCCTGTGCCCCACAATCTAAATCGCCTCCAGAATATTTCTTTTATGTCTCTTAAAGATACCAAATGGCAGACCCTGTACAGACTGCTGCTGCACACCATCCATCTCTTCTCCTTTATTCACTGCCTGGGCACACCATGTGCCCATTTACTGCTGGGTGGTGCTGATCACAGTGGAGGGCTTTCTATGCAGGAGTCCTCCCTCTTTCCCTCAGGGATCTGGGGTGGAGGGTGTTGCTTGCAGCAGTCCCATTCAACCACAGATTGCCGTGGTTCACAGACTCCCAGCCCAACGGTTTCTTTTGTGGCACTGTGGAGTCCATGGACCATGTGTATATTGAGTGTGGGTGTTTGCATCCCCTTTTCAGTTATCTTAACCCTCTATTGTGCTTTTTGGTTGCACTTTGGCCCAACACCCCTGATCTTTATTCACCCGATATGGAGGGGAGCGGGCAGGTCAGAGGATCTCCTTATGAGTCTGCTCCTGGGCTTAGCCAAGCTGGCCATTGACAGGTCCAGGCAGCAGGCTGTGGAACGGGCCATTTAGGCTGACTACCTGCCACTCTTCCGCGGCTATGTTTGAGGCCCGCTATTCCTGGAGAAGGACCATGTGGTGTCCACCAATACTTAAAGCCTTTAGGGAGAGATGGGCACTGCGGGTGTGGAGTGCTTTATTTCTCCTTCCAATTGTATTTTGATTTAGTCCTTGCCCTCCACTTTGTTTCATGCGGACATTGCCCCTACCAGGGCTCTCCTTGTCATTGATTCCCTGGCCACATCGGTGCTTTTTCTGGTGGTGGATTCCTAATAATGTTATTTATACAACTGGTGTTTCTCACTGTCCTGCACCTACACACATACAGAACACGGGTGCTGGGGAATGTTAAGTACTACAGCTATATGGCAGTAGTGTAAAGGTTACAAAAAAAAAGTTAGGGCTTCATTTAAGTCCGTCAAGAGGGCATTGTTTCTATTTAAATAATGCATGTCAGAGTTTTGGTGGAAAACAGAAGATTGGCACGGAGCTAAAATGCTTAGAGAACTGGTGCAGACACCGTGGGCTGAATGGCCTCCTACATTGTAAATATTCTGTGAACTGTTCCCTATAATGAGGGGAGTCCAGAACAAAGGGGCTCATTTATAATTAGCCAATACAATGATTTCAATTATAGAGATAGTAGGAACTGCAGATGCTGGAGAATCTGGGATAACAAGGTGCAGAGCTGGATGAACACAGCAGGCCAAGCAGCAACAAAGGAGCAGGAAGGCTGACGTTTCGGGC